AAGTTTATTTATATTATTTGTCGCAGCTGATGCTGAAAACGGCTGATGCTGAAATTTGGGGTCTCTATTTAAATCTATAATACCTACTAAAATCCACATATACTTTTTTATTAACAAAACTATCCTACTAACCCTAACCTAACTATGAAAAAAAAGTGTACAAAAAAGGCCCTAAAATTTTTTATAAATTCATAATATAATATGAAAAAATTTCAGCATCAGCTGCAACATTAATTTTAATCAATAATCATGATTTATATTAATTCTGATAAATTAATATTAAATTTTAGAAAGTAACTATTTAATTGATTAAATTACTTTAATTGATACTTATATCTAAATTACCAGTTTTATATATTACTAGAGAGTGAGTAAAAATTTAATTATGTTTGTTGTCATTTTTTTATGATCAACATTTTTTAATAACTTACTCTTTTAATTAACAGTAAGTGAGTATAAGATTCATTTATTCCTTATTTTTAGAAAAAGCATTTATTATTAATTTTGTGTATTAATTCGGATCAGATTGTAAGTATAAGCTTCTGAGTTGCCGATCCGAGTATGGTTTATTTTCTTTTATATCATATTCCATTGAAAAACTTATCTATAACGAAAATGTTCGGAGCATATAAAACAAATCCTACATAACCAATGAATGATACGAGAATACAACTTATTCTCGTTATAGTGATGTATTGGATTTTATATTAGTAAGAGTATACTCGGATTAGCCATTTAAGGAATTTCAATAAAGGTTTTTATTCATCGACAACACTAATTAATTGTCATGCCAATTGATAGTATGTGAGTATACAATTTAGATTTATTTACTTATCAAAATTTTAACGAATTATGCTTCTGATCTGTTGCCTAAATCATTAGGGAGTACGTATAAACGTTGAATTATGCTTTCAGTAGTTATTTTGATAATCTTCTAATTATTAACAAAATTCTAGGAGGTGATTATGAAGTTTCATTATATTATCAGTTTAAAATTTTTTATACTAAATCCTATAGTCAATTATCCAGAGTGTGAGTATATGGTTTATTTATACAAATATGCATCTAAGGGAATGATCAGAAATCAACTGATTTGTTAGGGGTGGTATGTAGCATAATCTAGTCATAAATTATTAGCCAGGTGTGGATCGGGTAGGTTTCTATAGTAACTGAAAGTCGTTCTGGTAAAATTCGCTAACCATTTCGCCGAAAAAATTTACTTAAACATTAACTATAATCAGGGCAATCCTCACCCAAACCAGGAAATCTTGTCGGCAAAATGGCTATCAACGACAATTGTCAGTAACAGAAATAACCTGATTTCTGAGCACTCCCTGACTAGAAAGCTTGGGACACTGCTAAATGAACAGAGATATTCTCCCAATGCTTTCTATGTTTTCTAGAAATGTGTACTGTATATTCATTTTGAAATAATGAATTTTTCATTTTAATTACATATAAAATTACCAGGAAGTGAGTATAAATTAATGAAATTATTAAATTGGCGCTTATAAACTTTTTATTAATGACAACTATTCAAGGCGGTAATATAAATTTAAGTTTATTTCTGAATCTTTCTTTAATCGAAATTTTTATTAAATACATATTCTATTCTTTATTGTTAGTTTGTAAATATACTGCATATTTTTTCTATTTATGATATTTCGGCATTTGGGCAAAAGGGGATGGACCAAAAAAATTTTTTTTTAGAAAATTAAATATCATGAAGAATTAGATTTATTAGAATAAAATTATCATAAAATTAAAGCATTTAATTTTTTGGCCTATCCCCTTTTTGCTGTGGGGTCCCATTTAGAGTATTGTTATTAATTATTGAATGTTCGTTAATTATCAGGGAGTGAGTATAAAATTCAGCTATTTAAAACCAATCCTAAATATTTTTTATTGATTTAATTAAATTACAGGGAGTAAGTATAAATTCAGCTCTTTAGTTGTTTTTAAAACAAGTATTTCAAGTTAAAATTTCTTCCTTCTCTACACTAAAACCATAAGAGAGTAAGCATGAAGTTCAAGTACAGCATTAAACTCTTTCTTGTTTATTCACCATTAAATGATTATTGCTTCAACTATTAGACGGTAATTTTTAATTTAAAAATCTGGACTTTTTAACAAATATTATAATTGATCATTCATTAAATAATTAGGCGGTAATTATTATGCTTGCACTTATTTTTACTATTGGGCATTTTGACATATTTGTCTCTCTCTAATTGACTTCATTCGTTAGGCGGTAATTATACGTTTTTTTGCTGATAGTAAGGATGCCGACACACATCAGACATAGTAATCTTAATTTACTATACAATAATTGATTATTCTCTACCTTTGACACGTTTAATTATGCTACAAATATGCAAATATTTGACACGTATCGTTTCTCCATAGGATCAGCAACTTATTAGACCGATGGTATTAATAATTAGTAGTAGAGTTGAAAGTAATTAATTTTTACTGTGATATATGCTTATTACACCTTTAATCAGTCTTTGACAACGATTTTTTCGATAACCATTGTCCAAATTAGCTTAAATTTTTACCGTAGGTAGTACCGAAATTATTCTATAACATACTAAAATTTCAGTTAGCCCCGATTAAAGTTCCTGAGAAATCACATACGACGTCAAAATTTTTTTTAATAATAATAGTAGAAATGATTTCTCAAAAGATACTATTTCAATTTTTAGTATGCTATATAACAAAATTGGAGCTAATTTGGATCACTATGATCGAATTGTTGTTGTATATCATGAGTTATAACTAATGATGGGAATGACAAGGAAGCTATATACAACTTATTCTCGTTATAATGGAGTCCCCGGGCTATGAAAAAAAATTTTCAATATAGCTTATATCGAGAGAATAATTGCATTTCACTATATCGAAAGTTAAAAATTCTTACTAAATTGAATCTTCACCATAACGAGAGTTCACTATCACTATAACGAGAGTGTGGGTTGTATGCAAGTTTAAAATTTCGTAAGGGGAAATTACTTGTTTAATATAACATATTTTTGTAAAAGGGTTTAACACATACCACAATTCGATTGGTTATATAATGTATTGGTTCATATATAATTGTTTAAAAAAATGATGCTAAGCAAATATGCAATTAAATTGGTCTTGATTAATTTGCTGATATGTGTCGGCGCCTTAAGAGTTAGCATGAATATAATTTCATTAATATTTTTATTAAATTTCCAGGAGGTAGGTTTCGAACTACCGTGATTACAATTTTTTTCGTCCTCTAATAATTCAACTGTTAAATTACTAGTGAGTGAGTATAATAGCGTTATCATTTAATTATCATTTTTAACACATTTTTATTGACTAATATCTGTCTAATTATTAGAAGGTAATTTCAAAGCTAGCTTTAATTTTTGAAATCACAACTTAGTTAATCTCAATTAATCCACGGGCCAAATTTTCTAGAGAGTAAATATCGTGTTTAATTATATTCATCTTTTAAGCGGCAATCCATCAAATTCTTTTTACTAACCAGTTTCTAATTAATTACTAGGCGGTAATTATAATATCAGTGTTTTTTTCAACACTAGGATAAATAATTTTGTCTAACATTTATAATTTATTATTCCCAATAAATTTGTAGTTTGTGAGTAATGAGCTTTGATGATATCCATTTTTAAGATACGTTTCTAATTGATTAATAATCAAATTATTAGACGGTAACTACACAGTTCATTCAGATTTACTGCTAAAAATAAATATTGCTAATAATAATAATTTGTTACTCGGTTAAACTATTAGACGGTACTTAAAAGTTTATCCATGCTCATTTTTAAAATCGATATTTTAATGCATTTCGTTTAATAACTAATAATTTTCTAAATATTATCCATTGAATAACAGTGAGTGAGTATAAATTTAATTATACTCATTTAAATTAATTTAAATTGGTTATTTTTATTAATAATGCATTTCTTATCAAATATTAGAGAGTTAGTATAAATTTTAATTTACTATTTTGAAGTTGACTTGTCATTTGTTGCTGCTTCTCTAATAAAACCTGCCAAATTACTAGGGAGTGAGTATAAAAATCATTTGACGCTATTTTGAATCAGCATTTTAATTAGAAGTTTTTTTTGCTCTAATTAAATATTTAAATTACTAGGCGGTAATTAAATCTAATATTCATTTTAAATTTTCGTGTCACTATAGAATTAATTTATTAATTGGATTATTATTAACTCATCAGGTTGTAAGCATAGGATTATTTTTATTCATTTCGAAATTAATCGATTTTTTACTTAATGACATTATTATAACTAACTATACAATTATAGGGAGTAAGTATGAAAATTTTGTGTCTCATTTATCTTCAAAAATGTGTTATTATTGATTAAATCTTCAAACCTTCATTTGCCAGAGAGTAAGTGTCATGTGAATTTTTATTAAAAGATGCATTTGTAATTTGAATTTTTTATTTATTCAAGGTGCAAAGAATGCAACAAACTATATTTGAATGGCTGGTGTCAAGCATGCAATACAAAACATTTTAAACAAGAATTTAAAAATTGGACTAGTGATAATGAATATATTGATACATTTCTTCAAAATGCCCAACGTACGGCAACTAGACCAAAAAAAGTATTAGAGTGGATTCCATATGAAAAATTAGTGAATCGAAAGTATATTGCTAAAGGTGGATTTGGAACTGTATATTCAGCTACTTGGCTAGATGGTCCAATTAAAAAATGGAATATAAATAATGGCAAATGGGACCGTTACGGGGATATTAAAGTAGCACTAAAAATTTTATCTAACTCTGTAGGATTGAATGATAGTTTTTTGGAAGAAGTAAGCATTATTTCCTATTATAAATGTATTTTACAAGTTTGAATAGGATTTTTATATCCACATATGCATAATTTTAGGTTGGATCATATTTTAAAATAGAGGATACTACTTTTTTTATTCAGCTTTTTGGAATTTCGCGAGACGACGAAACACACAATTATGTAATGGTTATGGAATTTGCATCTTTAGGCAGTCTTTATGAATATCTAAAATCTAATACCAACATGACCTGGGAAACAAAGATAAAAGCATTACATGATATTAGCATGGGACTCAATCATCTACACGATAGTAACTTGATTCATCAAGATCTTCATCCAGGGAATCTTTTATTTAGTAGTAATGCTGGCGAAGACTTTTTAAATATTGCAGATCTTGGATTATGCAGGCCATCAAATCAGGGTCCACAATCCAATGAATTACAAGAAATATACGGCGTATTGCCATATATTGCACCGGAAGTTTTATATGGGAAAAAACATACATTAGAATCTGATACATATTCTTTTGGAGTTATAGCGTATCAAATAGTCACCGGCATTTTACCATATAATAATGTCCCACATGATTCTGACTTAGCGTTAAGTATTGCCCGAGGGCTACGTCCAAGAATTCCATACAATGTACCAAGATTTATCACTAAATTGATTATGCAGTGTTGGGATGCTCGCCCAGACAAAAGACCAACTTCTAAAGTATTGTACCAAAAGATAAAGGAATGGTATTACGATATTAGAAGAAATAGAAAATCCGAGTTTACCGCACAAATTGAAAATGCTGAAAAAACGTCCGAACATTCGTCTACATACGATGCATTGGCAGAACCTCATTATAAATCACATCCTAATGCAATATACAGTAGTAGACTTCTCAATTTTACTAATCTTTCACCACCTGTGAATGATTCAAGTTTCGATGAACAACTTGAAAAACTATTAGAAGACGGTAATTGTTTTTTATATATTGTCTGTTTAGAATTTCTGATTTAAACATTTCATTACTATATTTATTTTAGAAAATGATAGCGAATTCGTCATTCGATTCTAATTCTGTATTTGACAACGTCGAAATTAGTATGTCCATGCAGAATTAATTGATTAGTTTTCATAACCCGGTCGGATCAAAATTTGAAAACTTCTAAAAAAATTTTTTTTATATGTTTTAATAACTGGGTGTGTTTTAAAAAATTTATTTAAAATTTTCATATGAAATTTAAAAAAAAAACAGCCGGCCGTCTGGGTCTATTTAAAAGCTTCATTTTATGAAAACCAAACCTAAAAACGATTTTAAAAATTTTCAACAATATCAAACTAAATTAAAAAATAATCTTTGTAATTAATTCTTCTAGTTTTTTTTTTTTACATTTGGGTAGTTATTTTTGAATTTTATACGTAACGTAATAACATTTTGTCTGGGTTCAAAAATAATAATCCATTTTTATAAAAAAAAAAAATTATTCTAGCTAAACTTGCTATTGTTATAATGCAAATTAAAAATTTCATATTTTTATTTACTGGTTTAATGCCCCGCACTGTAACTTATATTATTTGGCATAGTTTCGAGATTAAGGTTGTTATTAGAGGATAGGTTATATGGGGTGTCCCATATTAAAAGGGCCCATTTTGCAATTTTTTGAAAAATGAATTTTTATTAGATTCATGTAAATTTTGACACGATTGACATTTTTCAATGTCGATTTGCATAATGAAAAAATGGAAGAAAAATTACACGCCTCCAGGGGAGACCGTCCCAAATTAGGAAGCGAGTACCTGAGTCACCCGGCCGTTACACAAATGGTAAAAAATTTTTTTTATATGTTTTATAATACTATTAGTTCCGATTGATCAAATTAATAAATTTTCGAATTATTAAATAATTAAAAAGAAATTAATATTATCAGTTTCCGATTACGTAGTGATGGCGTTATTAATATTATTAGTTAATAACTTCGATAATCGCTAATAATATCGATATGATAAATTAAATAAACTACCAACGGATTTAATAAATGTTTAGTTCGCCAATATCTCAGCAATTTTTAAGAAAATATCGACACAACTTTTAGTTTTTATACATCCTGTACTAATTAGCTGCGCCATATATTATTATGTCGTTATTAGTTAACAATTTGATCAATCAATTAATAATCATTATTAGTTCTGATTAATCAAATTAATGAATTTTTGAATTAAATAATTTATTAATTTATTAAATAAAAAAAAAACATATATATTACAACTCAATAAATGATTTTTTCGCAAATTCTAATTCTTCCATTGTTGTATTGCCTGTTACTATTTCAACATTATCTATATTATCCTCAACTATATTTTCCTTTCTCTTATCAATAAACTCATTATCACCTAATTTTTTTACCAGGCTTACCTTTAGCACATTGACATTTTTTTTAATCTCATTCTTAAGATAATCCAAACATATTAAGCATTTGAATTGTCACTTCTCTAAGTATTGATTATGGTAACCATGTCCACATGCAAGAACTTTACCACAATCTGAATAATCAATACAATTACAATTCAAGTAGTCGCATAAAGTGGTTGTAAAGGGTTTTCTAGAGGTAATAAAACCTCTTAGAAGTGACGATTCATTATTTTGTAGCCTAAAGAATACAACTTATATGTGTTAATATTGTTAGATAAATCAGAATACTGATAGCAAGCTTGATATATCTTTTTAAATAAGCCTAAAAGTAATACAGCGCATTTTTGAGAAAGCATGTGCAATTGTTGGGTATATATGGATATTTGACAGAATCAACAAAATATTTTCAAAAAGTGTTATCTTTGCAGTGCTGAAAAATAAAATGAGCCTCTTTCTGCAATTGCTCTGCCTCCAAAAACTTTGCCGTACGTCATCGAATAATACTGTGAACAAGCTCTACGGGACAATCGCTTAAAGAGGCGAGTCGATTAGTAATTATATCCATCAATGGGTGATTAGTATCCATCCAAAAAAAAATATTTGAAAAAAACATTAAAGGTGCATGTTTGTAATTTCCTTGATCAAATCGAAGAAAAAAATTGCTCCAGCAGCATATACAAGCCTCTTCATAAGCCAGCCAGTTATCTTCACAATGATACACTGCATAGACATTGAGAACTAAAGAGATTAAATTACTCAAAAGATCGGTTAAATATAAAAATTCAATATTTTTACAAGCATTACCAAATTTTAAATAAACAA